CCAAACTACTGTCTTCATTGACTTCATAGCCTCCGGAACTCGAGAATTTCGTGCAATCTGGATAAATGAGCGTGTTTCTGGTTGGCAAAAATAACTGTGTTCTAACGCTTTTCATTCCTGTTAATAAGGTTTATTCTGAGCTGAGATTTGCTACTTTAAAGATAGAAGTTGAAACCATGCATTAATTTCCGAACAACCTAATATAACTCACTACAAATCGGTTATGTGAAAGAGACGAATGGAAACGTAGCTCGGCTGGCTCGGCTAGAATCACTCAATAATGACATGATACAACCACATTATGCCTGGATTTAATCCTGCTCCAAATATCGGTAAAAAGCGGGAAATATTCTTCGACACATCATACGAAACTTGAATGTTCATCAAATATAACTGAAATCCAGCAAAGATTAGCACCAATGCCAAGAACCGCTACGATAGTGGAAGAAACTAGTCGCATTACTGTAAATCTCCCTTCGATCCACAACCGCTGGCGGCAGCCTTTACTTAGGAACAGAGAGTAGTTGGCACGAACTTCCTTGGATTCCAGAGAAAACATCTTCCTAAATGAGCAACATACGAGACGGGAAACAGATGGTGCTAAATTCACACGATTCCTCGTGTATGCTGGTCATTGAAGCACCATATCAGCGTATTACTTGCACAACAACAACAAAAATGTATGGAAACTTGTCTAGATAGTTCAAAATAAACCACATCTTCCATTGATATGGTCGTTTGCGAAGTATGCATGGAATTACCCACAACTATACCTAACATATGAATAGTGTAAGTTCTATTCAGCCTTATTGGTCTTTACACAGTTTGTCACCAAAAGTAGGTCGGAAGAGTAGATTCCAGAAGCAGACCTCCCAATTCCTTACATATCATGGAACTAAGTCTAAGAAGCTTCTACTCATTGCTGATCATAGCTCAATAACACATCTCTTTTATTTTGTCCTATTTGTCAGAACGACAGTATTTATGTCAAGTCCCGTTTATCAGAACCCAACTTGACTCTTACCAAGAACAGTTTTCATTCGGATATTTCGACATTTGTATGAACCGTCCTAAAATACAGTATAGTTTCTAGCACAATCACTATCCATTTCCTTTCTTAGTAACCGTCACCCATCAAAATTTTACAACATGGCAACGTTGCAAGCATGTTGTTCAACGTACCAGTAAGAAGGACTTGGCGTGAGTGACTAGCATGTTCACTCTCACTGGTGGCATTCCACTGAATCTCGATGACAAGATATCCTTCGAAGATCTCAACTGCGATTTCTGACTAAACGCCATGCATGGTAACTGTACCTCAGAAGACAAGCGTCTGTCGGCGAAGCACAAAAATCCTCGATGAGATTGAAACGTCAGTCTATGTTTCAGCTACAAAGCAGAAAGCTGAGACAATGTCAAAGCGAACATGTAGCCTAACAGATGTATGGGAATTCAGGTCGCTCAAGCACCAATATAACACCATCCGCACTCGTCACACTTGGTGTACCGCATGCGATGCCGCAAGGGAAGACAACAGTGACAGGCGATGAGATTATGAGTTCCAGAATACCACATTAGAGCTGGACTAAAACGACATAGGAATTTCCACGCCTTACTGAAGGCCTCAAATAACACCAAGTTTCATGGAACAATACTGAAGGAGACCAAGAAGAAGATAAACGTATATTAATAAGAAACTGGAGACCCGATATCCACGAAGATCCCGTAACGAAACGACGGTTTTTTCATCGCAGAAACATGAGCTGACCATTACATAAGATCGATTACCACGCTTTCCACTCCTGCTGCTCAAGTTGGTGTCAAAAGAAGATCTCTATCATCAGTTGCCATCTATCAACTTGTACAGGTGATGAGAGCGAACTAGATAAATGATGAAAGGATGAAGCGCACGGTGTTGATCAATCCCTGAGGTATGCGTCATGATCCCAGTTCATTAAGCATCGTTAGAGGTGACTGAATGCATATCTGGTTTACACCATGACGACTCGGGGCGGCCTATCGATGTGTTGAGTCAGTGCTACTATGCTCCCATTCAGGTCTGGTGCCAATTTGCTGAACTTGTAGGAATGGAAGGCTTGATGAGCCTGAAGATCAGGATCGAACCCATGATATTGTAGGGTACCTCTAACCACTGCGCTACATGCTCCCATGTTGTGAGATATATGGAAAAAGATCAATTCGTCATAAACAGGGAACCGTGCCTCCTACACGCGCTCTGTGAGCACTTGAAAAAAGTGATTTCCAAAGAAAAGTCCCCTTATAAATCTGTTTTTCGCGGGAAGCAGAACCATGACAGAACCGGCTACTGAATAGAAATACAGTGTGTGGAATTTTGGAACAAAAGAGTGAAAACAGTGGGAATTGTTTGGTTGACTCGGTTTGCAACACTCGTCTTTCGTGGAAATTCACTATTTCGAAAACAGAGACTCGTGACTGACACTGCGAGTCGTCTAACGGGATGATTCAAGTGGAGATCTAGCGGATCCCCCAAACTAAATTTGACATTTACTTACAACTATCGTAACACCACTTGCTTATAATCGATTCAATCACCAGGTCTTCGGCGTAAAGTTAGTCATAAACAGGAAAAAGCTCTTGTCATTGTCCAAGGTGGAAAAAAATCGTGTGAAGAGAGGACCGATAACATAAACCTCTTTCTAGACGAGTGACGAATTGCAAACGAGCAACCGAGGATACGAGGTGCTCGTTAAAGCATTATAAAATGCTGTTATATTTGTCTAAGGTCTTCACTGAAACTTCAACATCAGAGATCGGATGCTCACCACCGCGAAGAAGTTCCTTAACAAAAAGAAAAAAAACTGAAACGAAGTCATTTCAATTGTATTACACTTGGCACTACCGTTTATCCCTGCCATTTGCAGAAAACCCTCAGTAGCGCCTACGGTGCCTGCTTCCAACGAAGTTAGTGGCTGTTGCCGATGAAAAACATCCATTTTAAGAAGAACTAAGGGAGACTTCGCGAATACAATTCTGCGAATAGCCACAATAAACAAAAATGGAGTTAGAATGCTTTAAGTCTTATTTGTTGCTTATTATTTTTTCTATGGCAGAGTGCTATGCGAACTACAAGCGCAAGGATACTGAGATATGAGCAAAACTCAGCCGTGTTATCCACTATACCAACCGAGGCAGTTGCTGTGCTTTTCTCTCGGCCAGTTTTTTACCCTAACGATGCTATCAGCAATCACCTGTCAACCGGAATGATCTAGGGATTATGAATCGGGCACTGCACCCAGTTAAACAGAAGCTGTGGTCGAAATCACAATGTTTCAACCTTTATTCTCTTTTTATTAGCAGTGTATTATGTAAAATACAACCGCAAGGATGCTGAGATATGAGCTAAAGTCGGAACCTCAGGTGGAATTTTCACCCCGTTATAGAGAATTCACAAAGACTCCACTTCCAAACTCTGCTCCAAAGTTTCCAAATCCGCTATTCCCACTATACTACTCAAAAGCTTTCCATAGAGAATATCCACTCCTGATTTCTTCCTGTGAATCCCCATGTAAAAGAACATAGAAGAAGAGGACATTTTTCTAAACGAACCTCGTGTCAGCTCAGTAGTCTGGGAGATAGGGGTACATTGGCTAACCTAGACAATATTAAAGGTCATATGTACAGCTCCATAGTACATTCGCTGTTCCAGCGACTAAAACAAGTGAAAGAAGCGGAAATAAATGAAACGAAGGAAACAAATACATTAGGAAAAACCACTAAGAAACAGGTTGACAACGATATTCCCGTTGTTCATCATGAAACAAACATATCACGACATCTGAACTATTGAATTAATGAATTCTACAAAATCCGTAAAACATCGGGCACTGAGTGAACCTGGACTACAGAGAACGTAAGGAGTGGGGAGAAGCTGAGTCATTCAACCAGGAGGCCATCTGGACGTCAATCAAGGATATCAGTGAAGACTTTTGAAATCATATTTACCAATATAGGATATGAAAGTAGATAGTTATGGATATGAAAGTAGATGGTAGATAGTTATGAAATCACCTCAGGAATGGACTTGGCTAGCACTGAAAGTGCAGTAACAGTGGAAAAAAAACAAAAGTGATACACAACAGCTCTTTCAAAGAGATGTGTGATTCAGAGTTTCCCATAGCAAACCTGATAAAAACCAAAAGCAAACAATTTGCAAACGATAACTCAGGTAGTTTTCCCCATCACTACCTCTACTGGATAAGTCTTTTAAGGCGGAAACGTTCTTAGCTCTTATAAAGTCGAGCTTGTCTCCTCTCTGATTGAATCCGTAGACCGGATGGTGTAGTGGTGAAGTGCGCTGCTCCCCGGTAAGGACAACAGCGCTTGTTCGTTCTCCATTGCATACACCTGTGGTCCGGAGTTTTGCAAATATCTCAGCATTTCATATGAATCCGTAGAGTTTAGCATTCAGAATCATATTCTGCTACAAAGAACAAACTACACATGGAATCGACAATCCGACAAAATCTCCGAAGTTTTACGATCCGAAAGTCTCAATTTAAAGTCCCAGACTTTCCCGGTTTAATCCTAACCGCGATAGATATGAAAAACAAAAGAAACAATTATAAGTAAACGTGTAGCGTCAAGACGTTAGCAGAATAAATTCCTCTATGAACTTAGTGTTAGCTTGAAAATCTAAGGAAGCAATGATTAGTACCATTGAGGGTAAATGACGACCGAAGGGTTTAACGCGATAGTATCGCCGAGGAACATAGGCGTTGTTTGTAGTGGTGTCGGACGAGTTGTGATGCATCGGTTGTGAAAGTACGAGTTTACCGAGGTTTGAAATGCGGAGGTCAATCCTGGGCTGTTTCATTTGTTCTTTTTCGTAAATACTTCCTAACTCTTAATAGTATATCTTTAGAAGAGGTGCACTGAAATATTGATATGATTTTTAGTGTATAAATCATTATGTTAAGGTAGTCATTTAGAGATCTTACGCCTTTGCAGAACGGCTGAAGATGTCAAGCAATTGGGATGACAGTGGTGAGTTTTTTTTTTAAATTTGAGTGATACATTGGTAAATAGCTTCATTCCAACAGTATGCTACAATATAACAGCCGTCTAGATAGTGAACAAGATGTCGCCGTCGCCGAGAAGCCAGTGGTTCTGCCCAGAACACGACAACCGTCCATCGCTAAAAGTCTCGAAAAAGCGGCTATTTTAGAAAGTTCTGTAGCAGGATCTGTAAAGGACAGCGATACAGTGAGTACAGTCTTAATTGGGAACGGTGACAAAGACTGAGTGCAATGAAGTGCTTAGTGCTAACTTCATTTAATTTTCGCCTCTGTATCACCAATTAACTAGTATTGAAGTGATCCTTCTATAGTACTAAAAATTTTTCGTGATCTCTAAACGACCTTTTTGACTAGTAAAGACGACCTCGCATGGGATAGCGCTGGGTCCATGGTAAGATAAACCGATTTTGCAACGACTGTCTTGGTACATCAAGAGGTAGTTGTATCCTTATTTCGTTTATATTAATTTGTCCACTTTTAAATCTGAAACTCGAGGCGCTTTTATCAGACTAGATGAAAGCCATGGATTATTTAAGCATAGTTAGCCCTACAAAAGCTGCTGTTTACAAGGGTCTGTAATTCTAACGTATTCACATCCAGTCTCAAGCAAATTTCATCGAAAGTCTCAAGCAAGAAAGTTTTAATGCCCAATGACGGTGAACTAACATGAAATACATGTGAGGGCTGGAAGCGATGGTTTCTTCTATCAGTTTCGAAGAGCGTTCAGCGTATCCAAATGGTTAGGTCCACTCTTCAGCCGTTGTCATCTTTTGCTAGCTTCCGTCTTCATTAACTTAACGTCCGCATAATCTTCGTACCGGACTTTCGTTAGTTTTGTTAATGTTAGTAAGCCGAGGATAATGCGTTCACGACGTCCATCCATTCATGTCGGAACATATTCAACGTCTCCTACTCTGTTACTGACTAGTTTGAACAACGATGTGATATTTTTCGATTGAACGTATAGAGTTGTTCGGAAACAGAGGTATTTATTTTTTGGCGTTGATCAATTTCTCGAAGAATTTGCTGCAGTGTCTGTGATAAAAGGGACAAGGTATAAAGCTTCCGGTATTGTTCAATCTCTAAGGGACGCGCCATGCACTAGACTTCATTAAACATCTCTGGAGGTGACAGTACATTTGGTCCTTACAATGGCTCATGGTGGCCTACCAATGTATCGAGACAGTGCTGTTATTCTCCTAGATAATTATGGCACCAATTTGCGACCCAAGAAGGATGGAAGGCCTGGCAAGCCTAGGGCGCAGGGATCGATTCCACGTGTGTGTTGCAGGGTGCTTCCGACCACTGCGCCACACGCGCCCAAACCATGTGCGTATGACATTGTATCCATAATTTTCTTGCAAATCATCAGATAATAAATTAATGAGGAGTAAAAGGTGAATATTCATTCCATGCAAAGGATGAAGAAGAAGAATGGTCAAGCGTAGTGATAGGACCTCACATGTTGATGATGAGTTAAAGGATTTTAAGAAACACAGATTACGTTGTCAATAAAAAAAGAATGAAGCTCTCGGCGTCGATCGATCCCTGAGAGATGGGCCATGCATTCGACTACTTCATTAAGCATCGTTTGGAGGTGATCGAATGCATATCTGGTCTTTACAATGATTCGCAGTGGCCTACCGATGTATAGAGCCAGTGCTGCTATCCTCCCAGACAAGTATGGTACCAATTTGCCAACCCGGTGGGGATGGAGGGCTCGGTGAACCTGGCGCACGGGGATCTATCCGATGTGTATTGCAGGGTCCTTTCAACCACTGCGCTACGCGCGCGTCCTGTATTATCACATCTGTCTGATGGTATCTATGATACTCACCTAATTTAGCGTCATTTGTGCAGATGGGTCGCGAATAACTCTTAATGGGTTCTATAATATTGTAATATGTTTTAGTCCAAAGGTGGTCTGTTACATTTGTGGATTATACGGGAAAAGCATTGATCATGTTAAAACGTATCTCTGTGACTAAGCCGCAGTAATGGGGTACTTTCGTAGTAGTGCAAATTTGTTCCCGAATCTCAGTTCTTTAAATCTTCATTTATGTTTAATATACGGGAGAAGCTTTGTTGCTGATGTATTTACAATCTTGAACATGACTTTCCATGGCAGTTTTCTCTAAGTTTGTTCTCAGAGCTCGTCAAACAATTATATCTTTTCAGTCTTTGGATGACGACAGCGCTTCTATTGGCAGTGTTGCTTCTGAGGAACCTATAACGAGCAGTGAGGAAGTTCTAGTTCTCGACTTTGATACAACAACGGCTATGAAGAGTGTTAGTTTAGTAGTTTACGTCTTTTTGAATTTGAAGAACTTATTCTTGCCCTACTCGTACTACTGCGATTATTCGGGAAGTTTGGGTTAATTTACATCCAATCACTACACTTTCGAACTCCTGACGTAGTTTATACTACCATTAGCCGTGATCCTCATCTGAATTTTCTACATTAGAATGTCATAATCTCTCGTAGCTCTCCACATAAGGGAAATTAATCAGAGTTGATGAAATCTTTGAAACCCACTTGGTGATTTTCAAACCATTAGCTTATTATTTTTCTATACGCAGTATGAAATTTTGCTCCTCGTTTGCATTTGAGGTTACTTTACTTAAATTGTAGAGCTTAAACTCCAGTAACGAGCGAGTAACCGGCTCAGTAGGGGTGATATTTGAACAAATCGCAGAAGAATTCCTAAAAAGATTGTGATATAAATCTACAATTCTTTTTTCCCATATTCCTCACAGTTTTCCTGAGGGAAAGTGCTCTTTTTGCTTCTTATGGGCGGAGGGAGTCTGCGAAGAGTTACATGCAACCCACATTGTATTTTTGATATTTCTACAGCTCTAATATGTGCTACTGCATTAATACTGGAATGGCTTCTTTTTTTTTACAGATGATATCGCAGTTTAATTGTGTTTACTGCAATATAATTGCTGAATTCGCCGACGTGGAAATATTTGTGATTTCCCTGGATAGTTTGATCGTGGAGTGCCTTGCGCATTCATATCACGATTGGACACTTTCTGGTCAATCCATTATTTTGACTAAACAGGTAGAAGCTATATTATAGTAATTCCCACGACCGCCTTTCTATTAGCCTCAGCATTGATCAAGTAATTGTTCGTATTCTTGTTGAGCAAACGCGAGGTGTTACTTTTATTCTTCATTCACGAATAAGGTGACGTTTCGGCGGATTTCGCCTTCCTCAGAGCCTGGAAAGGTCAAGATGACAGCAATGTATTCGGTCAAGCACCTCCATAACCAAATAGAGAATGCGCCGAACCAAGATTTCAATCACATTGAACACAACTTTGCAGGCTCACCGCTTTCTATGAGGCCTCCACTGAGTATGTCGCGTGAAGACCAACCGCGCAGAATTCACATGGAAGCGTAATGTGGCCCTCCCATCAGAATAACGGGATTATAGTAGCTGCCCAGTATCACGCGTAATAATGAGGCATTCTTCGCTGGGGTTCATTTTCGGATTTCTGGAATTGGTCCAGAACGCCTCGACAGTTTTGCGCGCTTGTGTTCTCGATTCCTGTGCGAGGATCGTGACACGACACGATAAAAAGGTCCCGTTTATCCTACCCTTCATCTCAAATGATGTAAGTGCAGCTATAAAACGCTGCTTAGGAGGAGCGGGTCTAGAGAATTCGGTAAGCGTGGTTGAAATGCAACCAAGTAATCTTAGGCGCCAGCTAGTTCGTAACCTCCTATATGACTCTATGTGCAACGCAAAATTGCATAATTTGCCCTAATGGCAGAGACGGTGGTTGCATGAGCTCAGGTACAGTTTACCTGATCTCGTCTAAGGCGTGCGGAGACGAATACATGGCGAAACGGGTAGACCACTCTATGTCCGCATAAAAGAACATCTAGTCGGCAAGCGTAAACCAAAACCCCACTGGGCACGCATTGGACCCAGAGACATAACGGGGAGGACTTTGAAGTACGTGTCACAATCCTCGTACAGGAACCGAGAACACAGGCGCGCAAAACTCTCGAGGCGTTCTGGATTAATTTCAGAAATGCGTAAATGAACCGCAGGGAAGAATGCGTCGTTATCACGCATGATATTGGGCGGTATATGAGCCTGTTATTCTGGTGGAGGGGAACATTACGCTTCCATGTGAATTCTGTGCAGTTGGTCTCCACGCGGCATACTCAGTATAAGACTCATAGAAAGCGGTGAGTGTGCAAAGAAGCTATTCTTTGTTCAGTGTGGTTGGAATCTTAGGTTAGCGTTTTCTCTGTTTGGTTATGGAGGTGGTTGGCCGAATAGATTGTTGTCGACTTGACCTTTCCAGGTTCTGAGGAAGGTGAAATCCGCCGAAATGTCAGCTTATTCGTGAATAGAGAATAAAAATAACACTTCGCGTTTGCTCAACAGGAGTACGAAGCTATATTATATTTGCGATGAAACAGGATTCCGAGTCTTATGACTTTCCAAAGTGATTTTTTTTTAGATTGATAGGTTCCTTAATCAGTTCATGACTTTTGGTGGCAAGTTCAAACTAGTAGTATTCACGGATTTCACGTCGCAGTTTTCTGGTGACACCACTCTTAGTTTTTCCCGTGCTGTTGCGATTGCACATGTCTCAACAGGACCATTTGCTAAGGTTTTCCGTTTGTTTTTAATCAGTGATAGTTCAAACTTTTGTTTTTGTTGCTCGTATAACCTTCAACTGATGAACTGACATTCTTTTTTTTTTACTGCGCACATTTCTCACTGCTACTTTTGTTAATTAGCGAATTATGAAGGTTTTGAAAATACTGCTACTACCACATTTATCCCTTTAAGGATTTAATCTACTTCACCAGTCCCGTTGACCCAAATTGGGAGCGTTTCCTTCATGACGTGACGCCTTCATTTCTGGTTTGCACTAGTGTTCCGTTTATAGTAACTTTTCTGACTTATCTCCAGGGTTTTTAGATGATTTCTACGGACAATGTGACAAGGGAGGCTTGTGCACAAGATGACATTAATGTTACTCCGCAACTTGAAACAATCGGTGGGAGGATCGGGTTATTTTGATTTATTTTAGAAAGGAGTTAGCAACAGTTTATGGGTGTACATCTGCAACAAGAGTTTGATGTCATTTTAGTAATAGTTTTTCTCTTTTTACGCATGACGACTTTCCAGTGCTGGATGCTCTATCACATGCTGTTCCCGTTGTGTTACTTACATCCGTCGTCGTGAATTTTTCATCAGTTTTTGCTTACTACGTCAACCCACGTCTTTGTATTAGATATAATTGGGAGAGTTTTGCAGCTGCACATTGGGAATGTAATAGTAAGTGAGAACAGGCATCAGTTCCTTTATTCACACACAAGTGGTATTTTCTTATTCAAGAGACAGTATTTTAAATTATATTGCAGGTTCATTATTGAAATTATGCAAAGCGCCCACCCATGATGCATCGCAATTCAAATCCGTTGGTGAATTATGGGCAGCCATCATTTTTGATGCAAAAAGAAGGTGTTTTATATTGATATACTGTGCAACGGGGCGCGTGTAACGCAGTGGTTGGAGGCGCCCTGAAGTACACATGGGATTGATCTCCACGCCTCAGGCCCACCAAGCCTTCCATCCCTCTAGGTTCGGCAAGGTATTAAACTTGTCTGGGAGGATAGCAGCACGGACGCGATACATCAGTGGTCTACCACGAGTCATTGTAAAGGCCACGTATGCATTCAGTCACCTCCAACGTTGCTTAGTGAACTACCATAGCATATCTCTCAGAGATTGATTAGCACCGAGAGGTCTATACCTATTTTATGATGCCCAACTCTCATTTAGTTTCCACTCGTGAACATGCGGTTGTCGATCGATTCTTATGCCTTTACTTTAGCAATCAGTTGCTTTGTCAGAGGTGGTCAGCGCAGTGAAGTTTATTTTGCTGATATTTCAGCGCTTCTGTATCGGAACATTTCGAGTCACTTTGTTGTGCTGTGCTTCTATCTGCTCTTGTTACCGGTAAACGTGGAGCAGCACGTATTTATCTTCCGGAAAGGGAAGGTGCAAAACGAGGTCTAGACGTAATCAGAGATAGACGTCTTCTACTTACAAGTGCCACTGCATACTTAGAGAAATTAGATTTTGCGGTTAGTAGATGTTTTGAATAATCTTACTTTTATTTTGGTAATTAGAGGATTAAGGAAAGTATGAGCTATTTTGAAAGTCTATTATTCACAATTCTGGATTTCAGACGGTGAAATTCCCTCTCTCAGATTTCTGGGATGGTCGTATGATCATCGGTTGTTTCGACGCTATATGCGCTAAAGATCCGGTGAATATTTTTCAGTTTTGTTTTCGATTGTTAGGAATCACGCTTTGATTAAGATATTGCCATATCGAATTCAAGACGATTTTGTTAGACTACATACCGCTGCGGCTCTTACTGAATCCATTCCGACAGACACTTCCGACAGATTGTTTGATCCATTGCCTGAGGTGACATTTCTGGTTCTTTGCAATTGTGTTCGCTGTTGATTAGTCGCAGCTGCAAAGTACGTTTAAGGTTGTCAATCCTTTATTATCTCTACCACTTCTCTATAGCGTGAAATCTCCTTTGTTGGACAAATACATACCAGAAATGAAGGTAGCAAAATCAGAAAATTTGATCGAAGATGGTATACAGCCAGGTATTTTCTCCAATTTTCTTTGAGGGTTGGATTTATATTCATTGTTAGGGTTATACTATTGTTCGATATTTGGTGTTGGTGCATAAAAGATCACTACTATAGTATTACACTTTATAGACTATGTGAAGCTTTTACAAACGGTTTTATCGTGGAAACTAAGGCCCATTGAGGAGGATTTTACGAAAACTGAAGTGATAACCGATGAGTGGAAAAAGAAGAAAGCGAATCGGTCTCGTCAGTATCTGAGCAGATGGTTAGGCGATTTATGCTCTTATACGGAATGCTTCTGCTTTTAAATGCTGTATTTTAGGTATGAAATGTTCGCAGTGGAGGGACGAGGGACTAATCTTCTCGTAGATTTTTCCCGGGTACCAAAAGGTTTTGCACAAGTTGCTTCCGATTCCACCACTGGAAGCGCTGTAAAAAAGAGCGGAAAGGCCTGGGCTGGACAGAAAGATTAGTAGCAGTTTCGTTCTCTTTAGTTGTAGTATTTGCAACAATTTCCAACAGCTGTTTTCTGTGCTGCAGTAAGAACGTCTGATCTGTTTTCAATATTATTAAACTAATTTGCTACTTTTCAGGTGGTGGTGCTGGCGGAAAGAAAGGTGCAAAAGAGCCAACGAAGTCTAAAAAAGATCTAATTCTTGAAGCAAGTAAGAAAGCGAGAGATGAGAAGATCATAGAAGGAGAGAAAAATAAGATCAAGTTTGCAACACAGCAAGGAAAAAGTGTCCGTATTACAGTTATACACTAGTTGTGGTGAACTATGTCGCATTACTTTGTTGGACAAAAGTTCATATTTAGGCTATAACTTTTCTCCAACGGTCCTACCAAACTCTCGAACTTCCCGAGTCTCGTGCACTGTGTGCTTTTGAAATACTCATAAGGGAAGGACGCGACTTGCTTAATAGACTAGCTGGACTTGAACACTTAGAAACCAGGTGGGAATTATTGGCGAGATTGGAACCTTGTGCACATGCGCATTTGTCCATTTCAGGCGTATCGAAGCGGTCAAGCTTGTGGGTCTTCTCAAGGACTGTTTTGTGACTCATTGGACATATTTGGATCTCAGACAAAAAGAGCAAGTAGTTGATCTGTGGGCGTCACTTGGTTTTGAAGTTCCACCGGGAACGAAAGCATCTGCTGAAGCAAAAATGAAACGATTGGATTTGGGAATGAACATGGTTTATTACCAAATGGAGTATGGTGGCGAACTAGTTGACATCCAATCAGATCCTAAGAAAGATGACCGCGTCACTGGTTTTGCCCCTGATGCTTGGCAGCGGCAAATGCTTGATTCAGTGGATCGTGGTCCGTCCATTTCATTTTTTTCTGAGAATTTAAGCGACTCATTTTTATGTTTTACTGTTAAGGTGACTCTGCAGTCATAGTAGCGCCCACATCGGCTGGTAAAACATTCATATCATACTACTGCATTGAAAAGGTTTTACGCCAAAGCGATGATGATGTTGTAGTTTATGTCTCACCTTCGAAAGCTCTCATTAACCAGGTGAGTTCTTTTTTGTTTTGTGAAAAAGTCTAATGATTTATGTGAGCACGTATAGGTGTGTGGATCTGTTTACACACGATTCCGTAATAAGAACATGACACGAGGAAAAACGCTTTTTGGTACGTTGATCCAAGCCTCTTCTGACCGCTCTTCAAATGCACTTTCGTGTCAGGTATGTATGTTCATTATAAGGTATATATACATATATATATGTATGTATATGTGTACATAAGCTTTTTTTTTGAGTTTTGCAAATCTCTCAACATTATCGTGGTTGTATTTCACATAATAGCCTGCTATTTCCAGTAAATAAAACGTTATAGATTTTTTTTATTTCATTTTTCATTCGTCTTCCATTTAATGATAGCACTGATATGTATAGCTTAGTTTAAAGAAAAACTTTGTTTCTTTGCTTGATAGTAATGTTTATGTTTCTTTGCTTGATAGTAATGTTTATGAGTTCTATCTCCGAGGAAACGTTGGTTGGTGGTTACTGTCTCGTTTGCTCTTCTGTATTTTTGTCAAGTACAGTTTTTTCTTACTACTCTTCGATGTATCTGAATTTCAGGTGCTTGTCACAGTTCCTGAATCTCTGGAAGCATTGTTACTTTCATCCAGTCCAAAAGTGCAAGAGTTTGTTTCTCATATACGATATGTGATATTTGATGAGGTTCATTCAATTGGGTGAGTTTTTGTTGTTTTTTATTAATTAGTAGGTGTATGCTCAATTTTTGCTGTCTATATTTCGTCTCATTCCAGTGCTTCTCCTGAAGCGCATATCTGGGAACATCTACTCCTTCTAATACAGTGTCCTTTCCTTGCACTTTCTGCCACAATTGGGAACGTTTCTAAGTTGCATTCATGGTTGAACAATGCTGAAAGGAGCAAAACTGGTGGTAAACGGAAAGTTAGTTTTTTATGTATCTTCTGACAATTCCTTATTGTCAGAAGTCCTTGTCCTTATGTCCAAAGAAGTCCAAATTGTCCTTATCAATCATCATTTTATAATAGCTTCAGCTAGTGGTCCTTCTCTTTTTTTCCGGTTTTTTTAAAGACTTAATCTTTTTTTCCTCAGTAGTCATTTCTGTTTCTGAAATATGAAGAAAAAACAATTAAAAAAAGAAGAAAATAACTTAATGAAATAATGAAAACCAAAATAATGATCACCGAAATGCAGTCTCAAATGACTTATGACTAGAATAACTGTGACAACTTTTGTGACTGAAATAACAGTTTTGGGTTTCCAGTGTTCCTAAATGGAGGATAGCACAGTGATAGTGATGTCGTTCATCACGACAATGGTGTTAGTTCCATTCCGCTCTAGGCTAACCAAACCTCTCATACCTCCGGGATCTGGAAATTGGTGCCGTACTTGTACGGGAAAAACCACTACTTACAATCCAGTTGGGAGTGCAATTCGATTATCTCAATACTCCACCGAGACTCGAAGTTCAAGATGAAGTGAAAATTCTCAAGCAATAGCCGAAGCCACACGTAAAAGTTGGAAGGTTTTCGTGGATAGTGGCTGCGAGGAAAGGAATCGAACGTGAGAAGTGCCTGAATCTGCGCAAAAGTCACGAAGGCGGGTCATATAAAAATAAAAAATGCTAGAAATATTTGTGTCGTTTTCTTGTTCAGCAATTGCGAGGTTTTTAAACAGCATGCATTTACTTCCATAAAAACACAATACAATACAACGCTAGCTGACGTTTCGGCAGTATCGCCTTCAGAGCCGCTTTTTCGTGACTTCCAATGAGGAAGTTTAGAACAGCTGTTCAAATGCGGTTCAATCCGGAATGCTTTCAAATGCGGTTCAATCCGGAATGCGGCTCTGAAGAAGGCGATACTGCCGAAACGTCAGCTAGCGTTGTATTGTATTGTGTTTTTATGGAAGTAAATGCATGCTGTTTAAAAACCTCGCGATTGCTGAACAAGAAAACGACACATTCATATTCCAATGCCGAGGTTAAGAGAAAGTCGATCTTGGGAGCTAGAAATATTGGTGTCTTTTTTATTTTAACTATTTTTTTCCAGTTATTGGTGTAGTTTTTTGATCCATTCTGGGTAATAAAAAAATGCATAATATTGTCTAACGTTGAGGACAAAACAGTTTATTTTCTACGATCTATTTTTTAAAGGCTTTTTTGTTGCACTGTGGTGCGTTCTGTGCCACGATTTCTTGTAATGGACTTATTTGCTATGAAGTGAAGCCTTTTATTTCGATATTATAAACAAATAATTTGTAAATGTGCTACGTAAACGTCTATGGTTTCTGTTGTATTAGAAGTTGGTGGTTTTGTATCTTGTTCGTTTTAGGTCGATCTCATTGTTTACCACGAACGTTACTCCGAATTGGAAATGACTATTATGCGAGTGTCAAAATCCCAATTTATGAAGGCAGAGTTGAATGGTAGAAGCGACCATCGTTTTATATAAAGTTATTCTTCTTGGATAGTTTATTTTTTTAGATGAAGTAGAAGAGCAATCTCCATCGGATGTTATTGAAGGAGATATTATACAGCCGTTCATGCCATATGGTGTATTTATGCCGGAGAAGATCCGCATGTTCGGTATTCCCGACGATCACCAGCTTACTGCAAAACAAATTTTAACACTGTACACAACTATGGCTGCTGTTGATGAGAAAACAAAGTCTGACTGTGATATTTGTCTTCTCGTACACCGCTTTTGTTGGTTTATCTAGTTTTATATAATAGGAAAGAGTTTGAACCTTGTCATTACTATGGTTACAAGGCGAGCGAGCTACTTTGGTTATCTCGTGCTTCTCTTCGTAGTCTGGAAAAGGAACTAAAGCAGCGTTTACTGCAGTGGTTGACGGAAGATGAAGAAAAGATGAGGAAGGTATTCACTGGGTTTTGTTTTCTTGTTGATATGATTCCCCGTGGCGTTTATAGTCTGCTTTCCTAATATGTTTATAGTCTGTACTTTTTATGATTTCCATCTTCTTAAGGTTATTGATGTTTTGGCAAAACCGATTGAAGAGCAGCTGAATTACAGAGCGAAACCATTTAATAAGGTATCAAATGTTCTTTTTTATTTTTTTTTACATGACACGTTTTTCGCATGTACTATGCAGATCCCATCACTTCTCACATTCGATTCGTTTCCTCATATAAATAATAAACAACGTTTGCTCAATCAAATATTACATTTTTTACTTATATGTTTATTGCATGACCGAGCAGCACCTATTATGCTTATCACAGCGCATCAGCGAAATTTTTCGGATTTGCGTGTGGCTTCGATTGCTTAAAGGTTGTTGTCTTCTTTATGATTGTCGTTGATTGCTGATCGACTCGATCCGCCTTGGTATCCTGGGAAGACCGTGCTAGGACGTTTCCAGATCTTCTTCGCAGGAGGTCGCCAACTTCTGTGCATTGAGAGAGCTTTTCCTCCAGACTACTGGTGCTAATTTGCGTACCCCAAAGTAATGGGAGATTTGATTGGTCAACGGTGGTTAGTAAGAAGGGTCTTGCACATAATGTTGAACAGCACATCTACCACTGCTTCTTTCGAGTCCATAATATCATCATCTCATTTTTTACTTACTTAGATATTTGGACGGCCCATCTTCACAGGTTGTGCGGACTCTAGTACATTTACATTCGTTTTTCTCTCGCAGTCATCGTTCGTGGTGGTGGTTTTATTCGAGCACGGCGGCGCGTGCAAGTCTCATACCATGATCCGTGAAATGAATGCATCTGCGAGTACAGCCGATTAACTTTGTTATGACCACGTTTTCCTAATGTGTAGTTCGCTGTGCTTGAGGACACCTGCATTCTTATGGAGTCCACCCTACAGCTCTTTTCGTCCATCTGTCGTTCCCTCTTCCCATTAGGTGACCGGCCCATCGACATATTTTTCTCGATCCCGAAGATGTGACAGATTTCGAATATCAGAGCTTCACGTTCTTGCAAGATATTGAAAGTGCCGCTTATACTTCAGAAGATATCATTCAAACCCTATATGACTGCTGTGGAGTATTCTCGGCGTGGTTGAAGTATCAGCCCACGTCTTTGCATGATAACAGAACAGTGGGAGTGCCATTGAATCGAGAAGGTGGACTTCCGTTGGTCGGCGGCTTCTTTGAGAGGCACGAATGAGGTCCACGCTGCTTTCATTGTTCTGTCTAATTCCTCCTTCATGTTGTTGTCCACGTCCATTGATTGCCTAAGGTATACATACGAGGTGGTCTCAGCAAATCTAGAGTCGTCCAGTTTCATTTTTCGCCTTCGTGCCATGGGTTTGTCATGAACTAGGTCTTCTTCCATTTCATGCGTAGTCCGATTTCTTTTTAGTAACAATTTTTGCCTTTGGAGCTTTGAAATCTGCTTTCAATGATGATTGGGTTGTCGTTCAAAACTAATGATGCTTCCATTCTTTAAAGCTGTTTACAAGTGAAACCAGTCAGTGAATCTTTTATCATTAAATTCTTTACTACCATGGTAACGTTCTTGACTGCGAATATCAGTAGGGCTTTCACTGTCTCGTTTATTACTGGTATTGGTTTTGGAAATGGTTTGTTTGGAATTTTTTATAGGAAAAACTAGCTCTTGACAACATCGTCAAGTTAGTCGATGAGATGAGTGCGAGGAACATGTTGCCAGCACTGTGTTTTATTGACGATAGGAATGTTTGTGAATTGTTAGCTGTTCGCCTTGCAGACGAACTTGAAACTAGAGAAATGGTATTCGTTTAAGCAGTTACGGATAAATTTGAACCACCGAAATTTTATTACTCATGCGTGTTTCAGGATTTCATGAATAGCGCTGAATTCAAAACGAAGTACGCTATAAAGTATGAAGACGTAGGTTCACTTCGAAGGCCACTATATTTCATAGCCAAATGAACGTTATAATGTTCATTTTTAGAAATATTCGAAATTAGCTAAGCGTAAACGTGATCTAGCAGATAAGAAGAAGAAAGGAGATAAGAAGAAAAAAGATCACGAGAATGAAGAAGTGGAGAAAGAGGATGAGCGAGTTGAGGAAAGCGATAGTGATCCCCTTGCAGCGCAACGGGCAAAGCTTAAAGAAGTGCTTTCAAAGTTTGTTGTTGATTTAGTGGTGATTGATTTGTTTACAAATATTACTTATAAGAGAAAAAATTCCATTCAGATTCCGGGTACATGGTCGTGAAAACAGTGATCCTGACATATATGATACGATGGTAGATCGAATGAAAAAAGGGTCAAAAGAAAAGGAAAGTACAAGGTAGAAATATTTCGTGATTATACAGTTTCTGTTGTTTAACTAACTTCACATTTGTTTTACCGTTCAGCAAACTCTTTCGCCTATTCGAGCGTGGAATTGGATTTCATCATGCTGGTCTTAACAGCTTGGAACGAGGAGCGGTTGAAGCACTTTATCGGAGTGGTCATCTTGGAATTGTTTTTTCCACATCAACCCTTGCTCTTGGGTAAGCTGATAAAACTGCACTTAACATCAGCTTTCGAGGCTGGCTTATTGATTTGATCCTTTTTTCCGAGGCTTCTAGTGTAGTTTCCCACTTCTTAATTTCAATTTAGTAGGTCATTTTCAGTGTAAATATGCCATGTAAGACTGTTTTATTTGGGATGGATACACCGTTCCTCACACCTCTGCTATTCCGTCAAATGAGTGGTCGTGCTGGTCGCAGAGGTTTTGACCACTCGGGAACAGTGTGTTTTATGAGCATACCGACTAGGTGAGTCACTAGACTTTCGAAAAATATGTGTTTATTTTCGTATTCTACTTATACTGTTCTTCTCTACAACTACTCTTATTATTAGTCTTAACCTGTTTTTAGTAAAATGCGACGTTTATTGACAGCGTCTCTTTCTACACTCCAAGGAAACCCACCATTCTCAACATCATTTATTATGCGAGTAGTCGCATATGTACATGCGAAGAATACTCTGACAGAGGATCAGTCCTCCGTTATTTCAACGTTTGCCGAGAGGGAGAAGGTGTGCTACTGTTAACTGTGGGACAATTTACTTCTTTGGAGATACTTATTTGGTGTTATCGTGACATAACCAAAAAAAAGTGTGCCAAAAAAAGTTCCGTGCACCAAAATGGAACCAAAATTAGAATGAGTCGTGTATTATTCATTTTCTTGTCACCAGTGCGATAATCATAATGCTGACCTTTTTTGAGACCCATTTCTTGTTTTAATTTGTCACGTAATTTTATTTTTCAGTGTGCGTTGTCACTGTTGCAAAACTCGTTCTCATTGTTCACTAGGCGCGAAGCTGAGAACGGGACTCTGCAGAGCCAACTTCATATGTATACAGCTTATTCTGTTCAATTACTTAGACATCTGCAATTACTCGATGGAAATGTCAGTTCCTTTCGATGCCCATTTCAAAATCGTGTTATTTTAATAGTAGTAATTTAATAGTTATATTTATTAATTTACGTTGAAAAACTATCAGTTTTCAGTGTTGTGGTAAGAACTTGATTGGATTAGCTGCCTCTTTGGCAGAAGTAGGTGGTGAACCAGGAAATCTCATATTTATTCATCTATTGCAAAGAGGTGCTTTTCACTTGATGGTTAAGGAAACGCCGGTAAGTTTTGACTACAACCACTATGGAACAGTGTTGGAATGTATGGGTTCCCATGCCCTTATGCATTGATCTCACTACGGGTCTGGCGACCATAATCTTTACTCTTGATTCGAAACTTCTTCAAAAGCCTTTAAACTTCAAACGAATGCATCTTTGCTCCTAGTGAACCTTGCTATCTACAATACAAAAATGAATGTGAAATTTAGAAAAAACGAATTTTAGTGCATTGCATGTAAAATATGAACAAATAAAGAATAAAACAATTAGAATCAACAGCTGTTTGCAACAAGATGCGCTCTCTCTTATTCCACCATTTTATGATTCTCTTTTCTTTTTTGAGACTCACGACTGTTTTTCTTTCGATTTCTGTTCGTTGGGGTTACATTAATATTTTACAGAATTTTAGCTAGATACATTTAGAATAAACGTGATAGTTTAGAAGAATTGTATATATATATATGTATATATATCTACATGTATACAAACATGTGCCTTTGAAGTGGTATGACAAAGCCTGTACTATCAGTTTGCGAAAACTCGGGTCCTACTTTAGTTATCATAATAGGATAGGAAACTTTGTTAATAAAATCAAACAAGTTCCTTAATAAAATTAATGAAAAAATAGTTGTCGGAAAGTTATAGGCGGTGAGCAGAAGACTAGCACGGTTACTAATGTGTTAAGATGATAGTGATATCGTTTTGGCCTTTACTAGCTATATCCAAGGCGTTAATCTATCATTATAGGATAGAACGAAGGCGAAACTAAAAATGCTTACGGTTCTTGCCAATTTGTTCACAAGATGGCGTTTACCGTTTTGGTTACAAGCGGATAATAAAGGCAATTTTCCACCTGATTCACACGATTTAGTATGTTATACTCACTTTAATCGGTTAGCTTTTTATGCATTCATAACAGGATAATGGGGGAAACGTATTTCTTTTTTCTTAACGATATTATCGCATTCTGTATTGAAATCTTATAAGATGTTCACTTTACATGTTCTCCTTACAGATTTTCTTAAACGGCCTTCCGAATGAAATGCAGGCCTTAGTTGACGATTACAATAAGGTTGCCATAACTCTCTATCACCAGTTTATGGCTGCTGCTTCACCTAACCGAAATCTCGTGGTGTGTTTCAAGACTTTCCGAACCATTTGAACTACTTTTAAGCATCTTTAAACACTTAACGCCAAAGAAAGGAGTTACGCACCAGCCCCTGAAATTAGCCATAAACTACGTAAAATAGCCCTTCGCAGTTGTTCGATAACATTGTGTTCTTTAGAATGCCCGGAAACTATTCTTCGCTCATAGTCACCCTACAGTGGATTTATTTCGTTGCTAGTGACTAATACAAAGCTTCGTGCTTAAGTGAAGGGGTGGAACTAGGTTTCCCTGAGGTCCAGGGAATTATTTTTTAGTTATTCGTTATTTTTATTGGTGAATCCGCATGACTTGCGTTCTATCATTTTTTTATTGAAAATGTCGTGTCCTTTCTTCATTTTAGGGTGCAGAATTCTCGAATGGTCGTCCGGATATCTCACATATGTTCATAAATGATGAACTTGTTTCTCCTTCTTTTGAAGGGTATTCGAATGATTCGTCGTTCATTCCTGTGATCGACTTCGACCAGCGTGATCATCGCGGTAGAAAGGTATTGTTTGTCTTAGTTTTCATGCTACTTGCTAATTCAACTTTTTTTGGCCACAGATCTGGTATAATGCTTTCGCTGTTGCTTTCTTTATCCATAAATCTCGGCAGAAGCTAACAACAATGAATTGTATCGGTGTGAACAACATGTGGTACCTTCTTCACAACTTCATTGTGAGTACTTGTCTTTTTTCACTTGCAAATCATATTTATGCCTCTAACAAAAACAAATTTGCAGAGTATTTTACAACGGTTAGCAGATGGGTTAGAGACTGTTGCGAGAGAACAGGATTCGGTAGCCGAATTAGTTCGGGAAATCTACGCCGAATACAATGCTAAGTTCCACTCAGCGTTTGATATGAGGAACAAGAATTGATCGGACTTGAGATAGAAGTTTCCAGACTGCTTGTCTCTTATTCGTGGTGGTTTTTGTTGTGAATGCTGCCTTTCAAATTTCTCCGGTGTTTGTGTGTGCGAATGTAATGCGTTTCTGCGCTCTTCTTGCATTGCGTTAACAAATTTATTCTCGCCCAATATTGGCATTGTGGCCATCCCATATTTGGAAAATAGACATCATCGTGATGCTTTGTTCTGGTTTTTTTTTTAACTGTAACTTGCTTGTATTGATTGTTTCCTACGTCAGATAGATTCTGTTATTTCTGTTCAATGCCCGGTTTTTTATACTGGACTCATGCTTTTTTGTCAGAACGATGGCGTTCTCAATAAAATACCATGGTTTGTGAGGATTTTTTGACCTCATCTGGAGGACCAGCTATTACAGTACATTTCTTTCGCTAACTAAATTCTGTAGAGCTCTCACTAAGTCATTAAAATTTTATTTCAGGCGGTATATGTTTGGTGAATCATGAAGAGAACAATATGACAGAAGAAAATTCCAAAAACACACTTTCACTTTTAGCTATTTAAATTCTTATGTACACATATCACAGCATCGCTTTGTTCAGTGTTTTCTAGAGAATGGTATACATCTTGATTTCTGAGAAAGTAGATAAAATGAAGATAAATGATGTATGGTAAGAAACACATGAAAAGTAATTACATCTCCGAGGTAAGCAGTATGAAAGATTGGTCGGCTACGGTGTGGTGTATCCCTATTGGAACTTTTCCAGTTGTGTCCGTAAGCCGTTAGCAGAGATTCTGAACGATCATATCCCAAAAATCCGGTGATATTAGTCTTACCTCGGAGGTATGTAATATACACTAATCGTGTAAAAAAAGAATGCTAAGTAGAAAGTCTAATAAGCTGACCATTCATTTGAAAATGTTTACTCGGTGGTCGATTTTAATGTGGAGGTATCGGTTGTCGTTGCTTTCCAGAGTTATGTGAATGACTCGGCAATGTCCTTGGGATTCTGGATTAGCACGGTAACAGGTGGACTGTACACATGACTAGAGTAGTTTCAATTTTAAGCACTCTGAAAGAAACCAATTCGATATGGACAGCCACTAGCGAGGTATGGTGGTAGGAATCAGATAGCTTTAAGTAACATTGCCGCTATCATATACATTGTCCCACATTTAAGTGTGAATTAAGCATTTTAAGCAGTGGAAGTCATGACCTTTTTTAAGATACGCCCACGAGTGAGCATGCGCACCATAAGTTCAGTCAGATCTACTTGCTCTAAATGAACTTTATTACCAAATAAATCACATTAACTGGAGATCGTGGAAAATCTGTTCCCCCAGCGTACCATTGATCACAAAGAGACAGAAAATTTAGTACTAGCACTAAATGAATCCACCGTTCCCGAGGAAAGTGGAAGTGCTGTTACCGTACTCGCAGGTATTAAAGAAGTACCATCACCGTACTGGTAGGAATTAAAGGTTCGATAGCCGTAGTTGTAAAAAGTGAAAGTACGGCCACTATGTTGGAAGAAAATAAAATTATCGTTACCGTATTGGTACCAACAAAATCAATGGGAAGAACTGTCTAAAAAGTGTAGGCGTGAGTCGATTTGTGAATATACGGTAGCATCCCAATAACTACCATATATCCTGGTTCATAGATGAAATTCATTAGCCAGTTTAAATGGTTCATAGTGCTTTATCTTCTTCCTGCATTAATTGAGTGGATTCTGTCAAAAAATGGAAAATAACCAACTCTAAACGATGTCTTGTATGAAGTGTTCTCGCCTTTGTAGGAGATACTCTTAAGCACTTACATTTTATCTAATGTATAGACGTCTCCATCTGATTATGTTTGATGTTATGACGCCGAATGACGTCAACAATATGACCTTCCTGAAATCTGATCATATGACGTTATCGATAAACATAAAAGTGGACAACAGAATGATAATAGCATCCATGTGACATACTCAGTGGAAGACTCATAACGAGCGGTGAGTGCGCGAAGAAGCTATTCTGTGTTCAATGCGACTGAAATCTTGGTTTAGCGTTTTCTCTATTTGGTTATGGAGGTGTTTGGCCGAATAAATTACTGTCAACTTGACCTTTCCAGGCTCTGAGGAAAGCGAAATCCGCCGAAACGTCAGCTCGTTCGTAAACAAGGGAATGATAGCACCTCGTGTTTGCTAAACAAGAATATGAAGAATGATAGTGATATCTGCTAGATGCTCACTCAAGCTCGACAGCTAGGTTTTATCGCTATAATCCCAGACAAGTTGTGCCATCAAGAATAAGTCATTTAGGTAAACTATGTTCTCTGTGGGGAAACGAAGGATCCGCATGGTGTGGTGGTGAACGCGTTACACTCGGAAAGAACAATAACGCGTTCGTTTCCGACCGGAGACACCTGCGGGTCCGTAGTTTTGCAAATATCCCAGCATCATAGAAGTTATATTTCGCAATATATACCCTGCCATTAAAAGGAGTAGGCAGTAAATAATAAGTTAAAATTATGTTCTCTGTCTTAGCTACAATGACACAATTATTTATGTTCAAATAGCACAAAGTATTTTTAGATTTGGTAGTCGAGGAATCACCAACTGGCCCATGGAAGTTAGATGAATCAGTGAGCGAATGAGCACATCGACTTTTCTACGTCTAGATGATTTTTCTTTTAGCTTATTCAAGCTTTCGACACTATGATTTCCATTTAGTATTTTCTTCTTCTAGAAAACCCTGGATAACCAGTCTAATAATGGAATATAGTTGACTGGTGCCAAATTCGTTCGCAGTTATTGTTCGATTGTTGCTAATGACTTATCCTTTATAAATCATGTCTAGAGACATTCATTTGATTTTTTCACTACAGTTTTTATTTGGAACCTCGTCTTTCACCTAGTCATCGTAGTATTAAAATCTGCTGGTTTGTTTTTCTTTAGTCCTCCTTAGCAGTGGGAAACTGAGAAGTGATTTTCTAAGATTTTTTCCCTTAATTATCAAGGTGTTTTCTAGGTAACTGAAGAATTCAAAAATATTGCTGGTGCTTCAATATCGCTTCATTCAAGATGAATAAAGCTCTAAAGCTCTTGATGTTGATCAATGCCTGAGGGCTGCGTTACGCATTCGACTTCATCAAGTATCGTTTAAGGTGATTGAATGCATATCTGGCCTTCACAATGACTCGCAGTGGCCCACCGATAGAACGAGCCAGTACCGCTATCCTCCCATACAGATCCGATACCAATCTGCCGATCTCAGATGGATGGAAGACTTGGTGGGCCTGCGGCGCAGAATCGATGTCCTGTACAGGTGCAAGGCGCCTCTAACGACTGCGCTACACACGCCGATATTAACTTACAGCAGTCGTAATAACAGTAACAATAATAACAGTAATAATAATGGTAGTAGTAATAGTACTAATAGTAGTACTAATAATAATAATAATAGTAATAATAATAATAATAATAAGAAGAAGAAGAAGAAGAAGAAAAATAGCAACAATAACAGTAATACTAATAAAAAAAGCACACAAAAAACTAATACTAGATAGTAAAGCTAATACTAATGATCACTATTAATAATCATTCGCCGAGGGTGCGCCATGAATTTGATTTCTTGAAGCATCGTTTGGAGGTGAGTGAATGCATATCTGGCCTTCACAATGACTCACGGTGGCCCATCGATAGAACGAGCCAGTGCTGCTATCCTCTCAGACAAGTCTGGCAGCAATTTTCCGACCCTGGAGTGATGGAAGGCTTGAGCCACAGGCGACGGGACCGATCCCATATGTGTGTCGCACGCAGGACGCCTCCCACTGCTGCACCACACGGGCCCATTTCATTTCATTCCGTTTAAGATATAAAGAACAGCTCGACATATACTTGTAAATTGGCGCCTCTTTTCTTTTTACTTTAATTTGGGTACTTTTTCCTTTTTTTGATAAGACTACCCTATTCTTTTTTCATCCTGAGTGTAACTGTGATGGCATACTCGAAAATTTATGGATGCTGAACTTCACTTCCATGTTCTTTCAGGAAGTTGCTTCTTATTCTATGCACATTAATAAGGCAACCTTATTAGAAATTTCATAGATTATAAAGATACTGTAAGCTTAAAAAGCTCACTGAGCAACATCAATGTTTACCAAGGCTTACACGGTGAATTGGCGAGAGATGATTGAGTTTAAAGTGAAAATATAAAGGAAAATTGTGGTGAGTAGATCATTTGTGGAATGTGACTGAGGAAAATGGTTATTGAAATATGGAATGGGCCATCAACATCACTCAACGAAATGCATCGTAGCATGGAAACGGCCGAATACACGTGGAATTGGCGCACCGATGAATACAATACAAACACATGCACACAGACATAGGGAGAAATAGAAAGACAAGGACGGAAAGAGAAGAAGGAAAGGAAGGAGCGAAAGAGGGCTACTAACGAAAAGCACCAAGTTCGTAGTACGTAACAACATTTACGTATTGATGAGGTCGACGATCTGAATGAAAGGCATGGACATCTAGGATGAGATCGGCAGTCAGCAACTGGCAACTAGTGCGTTTGATTCAGTTCACTCAGATGACACCATTGTTCAAACATCGGCGTCGACAAATCCTCGAAAGCACTTCTTTCGGACACAATTACTCTTGTATTCACTGTGAATTCACCGCATTTATTTTTGTAGACGTTATTGGTCATTACAATGTCAGCTTTGACAAGTTAACTCTCTACCGTCACTTGTCATACGGAAGGACAATCGTTTGCGCGACGAACTGGCTTGGGTTACTTTTCCGTATTGGAGCACTGATCTCTATTTGTTGTTGGAAAACGGATAGTGGCTAGGTAGTACGAGAAAGGAGCCGTTTAAGTAGAAAAATGATCAGTAGTTTTTCATTTTATGCTAAGCACTTGAATCTAATAGAAGTAAACCAAAAAAAGTTTACGAAGCACATTGAAATACATCTTCTATTTCTATGAACTCCACTGATCTATGGGTCGCCAAAAGTG